AAGCAGGGCATCAGCGATCATGCACCGGTAGTCGCGACGGCCTCGAGCAGCATCCCGAAGAGAAAGTCAGAAGACATTCAGGAAAGTTTTCAAAGCATTCCCAGAGATGTGTACCGGCATCCCAAATACGCCGAATATCTGCAAAAGGTCTCCGAGCTTCCAGGAGTTGACGAGCTTTCTCCCCCTCTGGCCCTTGACTTCGTGACGAAAACGATGAGGGAAGCTGCAAGAGTCGCCAGAAATACGATGCTAAGAAGCTCGCCTGATAGTCTCTTTTCTCGGTTTATCACTGTTAAATCCATTGCCAGGGCTATCTGGAGGCAAGACATCAAATTGGCAGAGAAGATCAGGTCGAGCAGTAGATTAGGCAGAGACCATCTCGAGATCGACGCGATCGAGAAGGTGGTCAGGCTTCACGACCCGACCGAGTTTGCCTCGATTTCGGACCAGATCCAAAGAACGATGAGCCAACGTGAAGAAGCCCGACTCCGACGAGAGATTAACGAAACCCCGAGCGAATCGACGAAAGCCAAATTGAGAAGACGTATGATAGGACAAATCCGAAGAGGCAAACTTTGGTCACCTTTTGACAAGAGGATGTCTTTGAAAGGCATCCGCACTGACAGCGGAGCTGTCGTCAGGGGCCCCGCCGAGGTCCTGCTGCTGCTCAGCCAGCACTGGGGCGCGGTCTTCGGCGTGAAGAAAAATATCGATCAGCAGGACATCGACAGGTATCTAGATCGGCATGCTCCAAAAGTGTGTCTCCAAGATCTGCCTCCACCGACTATGCATAGCCTCGAGAAACACCTCAAGAGGCTCCAGGACAGTGCCCCAGGACCCGACGGGCTGGTGTACTCTGCGTGGCGCTTCAACCCCATGGGGCTCAAAGTTCTCGATAAGGCCCTCTGGTGGATCCTCAATGGAAATGCGCTTTTCAGAGATTTCAACTTTATAAGGGGAGCTTTTCTTGTTAAGGGAAGCCAAGATCATGACTCAGAGGAAGTTCTTCGAGGCGCTTCGGAAACTAGACCCCTGGGGCTCAAGCAGACCAGCAACAAGATCCTCACAGGCCTCGTGGTATCCCACCTAAGTAAGAAGCTGCCCGAGTTCATAGACTGCGAGCAGAGAGGTTTCGTTCAGGGGAGGAACTTCGGGGTGAACATCCTGGACCTGGATGCAAGAGCAAGAATGGCAAGTATGCAACCCTCAGCCCCTTTGGATCTACCAGCTTTATGCACATTTGACTACGGCCAGGCCTTCCCGTCGGTTGCGCACGTATGGATCTTTGCTGTCCTTGCGAGATTATCCATACCAGAGCCGATGATGACTTTCATGAAGTACATATACACATGTGTTGAATGTTACGGAGTACATGGGAGGGTGAACCAATTTCTCTTTTCAGTATGTTCTGGTATTCTCCAAGGGTGTCCTGGAAGTGGGGTGCTATACGCGATATGCAGTCACCCATTCATGAGTGAATTTCGAGAAGTATTACGATTGCCAAGAGTACCCAGACCAATATCGGCGGCGAAAGCCTGTGCTGATGATGTGGGAGCTGTGGTCACAACTATTCGTCAATTGCTCGACCTGAAGCGTGTCTTCGACAACAGCTACAGGCTGGCAGCGCTGAAGCTGAAGACCAGCAAGTGCTTCATCGTGCCGCTGAGTGGAGAGTTTTCTGAGATTGAGGCTGCCAGGTATAGAATTTGGATTGATAATAATATCCCAGCGTGGAAAGATTTTAAAATCGTGGCCTTCGTCACGTACCTCGGGATGGTCCTGGGGCCGGGCGCCTCCACCGAGGCTTGGGATGCTCCGTTGAAGAAGTGGGCCACCCGTGCGGCCCAAATTTCCCGAGAAACCACGCCAACTGCTGTTGCCGAGTACTTGTACAATAAAAGAGCCCTGCCCACGGTATCATATGTAGCCCAGTATGCCGAGCTGCCAAGTAGTATCCCCTCTATCCCCTCTCTCTGTCGTCTTGAGCCTGCCTCCCTCGCCTCTCTCTTCTCGCTCCCCAACTGTGCTCTCTCGAGAGCGTCCCTTTGCTCGCTTTGGAAATGGGGAGGGCCCAAGATAGAGAGCATAGAAGCGATGTGTGCCAGCATTTTAATGAGATCTGCGATTAGCACAATGCCAGAATGGCGTACGATATACAGGATGCTGGAGAGCGAAGCTGAGAGGTGCCTCTCTCTCCAAGACATTGGCCGAGGAAAGAAATACCCAAGTTTCTGGAAAGCTCCCGCTTTTGTCGAGAACCTCAGGAATGCCACGAAGGGCTTTCCGTTCTCCTCCCCTGCTCACAAGAGAGCAGGTGTGAAAGCTTTGGCTGCTGCTGAGAGTGTCTTGGCAGAGCGTAGACGCACGGACAACCCGTCGAAAAGAATGAAAATCCAGGGAGCGATTTTGCGGGCCTTTGGGGCAGAGTTTTTGCCCGACTCGTTGGTCGGCGACTGGAGTGTAAGGTGGTGCCGATATTTTCCAGCAAAGAGACAATTAATTCGAGGAATTAATTGGAGCGAAGTACAGAATGTCGCCAAGAGATTTCCTCCCGCCTTCAGGCACGCCATTTGGCGCACCCTGAGCGGGGCCTGGATCACAAGTTTCAGGATGCATGACAGAGAAGCCAAGCAATGCATATTCCAATGTCGGGGCCAGCCTGACAGTTTTGTTCACTACTGGTGCTGCCCACGGATGTGGGCTATGGTCCGTGCTGCTCTGCATGATGCTGCTATCCCAGAGTGTCCCATCCACCGTCTCGGCGTTTGCTCTCCCTCTGAATCATCCATTCTCCGTATGTGTGCCTCTTATTTTGTCTTTATCCGTGTGGCAGGCCTGCCCCAACCAAATTCAGGAGATCTGGAAGCCCAGGTCCTCCCCGCTGTGCAGGCCCAGATTGCCAGAGGTAGAGTAAGGAGCTGAGGACTGATGCGCTCTCTTGGCGACGTGCGAGGAGGAGGAGGAGGAGGAGGCGGAGGAGAAGAAGGAGAAGGAGAAGGAGGAGGCATGTGGGGCAAAGAGGAGGAGAAGGAGGCATGTGGCGCAAAGAGGTAGCTCGGCGAGACGGCGAAGACGAGCGTGGCGACCCCCAGGCGCCCACTCATCGCTGACAGGGGGGCCCGCGGCGCACCCACCACCCCGCCCAGGAACGTGCGCTCGCGCCATCGGCTGCCTCTTGCTGATCTATCGGCGACGACGACGACGACGACGACCACGACGACGACGACGACGACGACGACGACGACGACGACGACGACGACGACGACGACGACGACGACGAGCTGCGCGCTGCGCCACCGAAGGCCTCTCAGCCTCAACAGAGCCCGCCGCCGCGTCTCCCCCCATCCGAGGCCATTCTTCGGGCCTTCCTGGGAAGCCCCCCCCGCCTCCTGCCTTCCCAGAGGGCCGCCCCCCTCGCACCGCGCCCTTTTTGCTCGTTGCCTCCCTTTGGCGTGCCGGCGCCACACCCAGAGCTGAGCAGACTGGGGGAGGACCTCGGTCGTGCCGCATCGTTGGGCTCACGATGCCTTCCCAGGGCGCTCGTCGGGAATCATCAAGTCTCCTTGCTGTGGCTGCTGTAACTACAGCGATTTCCCGGACGATTGGCGTGCCGATGGTACAGTCGTTTGCACCCTGAAGGCCGTTTCAGTCAACATGATGTTGTAGTTCCCATGTCGAAAATGCAGTCACAGGTGCGATAATCATTGGTCGCAGTCCGTCAAGTCGTTCGACCTTCGACAAGCTCCTGAACTCGACAGTGTCTCAGCCTCGCTGAGTGTACTCCTCGAAGTTCATCCGCTTTCACGCGATCAGGGTGGCCACGGAATCAGATAATGTGTTGCTGTATGTCGTGGGGCGTTGCGCGCGAATCATTTGGACGTGTTTTTTGTTGACATGTGCCAGTTTGCGCATATGTATGCTTGATTGAGTGTCTGTAGATGTGTTGGTAGTATGTGTCCGCCAGTGACGATTCCGGGTTTCCCATATAAGTGGACTTACCGTCCGCGCGTGCTAACCTACAAGATGTGTGTATCCCAGGATGATCCCGCGTCGCTTGCTTTTCTCTTCTCAGCGTGGAAGCGAAAAACATGTGTGCGCCGTACCATAGTGCGAAATTCGGCGCATGTGTTGCAATGCGAAGAAAGAGCACAGTGCGCTCGACGATTGGCAGGCCAAGCTATCCACAAAGCCTGACCCGAGGCTATCGTTGGCTCAGGCACTCTTGGCTTGTACTTACTCCAAGAGACATCTTGCAAAAACCACAGCTCCTAGGCTCCGCGCGGCGCGCCATGTCTTTCCGCTACGGGGGACACGGCGGAGGCCTCGGTGGGGGCCTCGGCCGGGGATACGGGGCGTACGGTGCCAGCGGTGCGTACGGCGCTGCCGGCCCTTACGGCGCCGGCGCCGGCGGTGCGCACGGCGCCGGCGGCGCGGACTGTGCGACCGCATGTTGCGCCAGCACCGGCGCCTGCATGGGCTGCGGCCCCGCCTGCGGCGTGGCCTGCGCCGAGGGCTCCGGCTGCGGCGCCGGCGGCAGCACGATTCTGAGCTACGTCGGCGCGGGGGGCGACTACGTCCAGGAGACCACCTACCGGTACGTGGGCATGGGCGCGGGCGAGTTCGGCGTGGTGCGCATCCCAGGGCGCGGCCCGAGCTGCTGCCTGCTCGTGATCCCCCTGGGGCTGTGTCTGCTTCTGCTGCCGCTCCTGCTATTCGCGCTGGCGCCAGGCTCGACGACGACCACGACGACGACCACCACCACCACGCCGTTTATTCCGCCGAGCACGGCGCCGCCCGACACCACCACCACAACGAAGAAGACGACCACCAGGCCGCCGCCCCCGCCCCCGCCGCCCCCCCCGCCGCCCCCCCCGCCGCCCCCGCCGCCCCCGCCGCCTCCGCCCCCGCCGACCACTGAGAAGAAGATCAACTGCGGCGAGGGCGACGTCGTGTCCTGGGACGTGCCCAAGAAGGTCTACTGCTGCCTGCACGAGGGTAAGGGCTGCCCGACGACGCCGGCGGCGCCCAGCACCATGCCGATGCCAGTGGTAACGACGGCGAGGAGCACCACATCTCCGTGCCCGATTGATCCAGCTGCGCCGTCGCGCAAATACGCCACCTCGGTGTGGGAGGACTTGTACAGGAGGGACATCAACTCCCTCACTGTCAAATGCTATGTTGGCATTACTTTCATTTGAATTGCAAAGAGTCGGGGGTTATCGAGCCAGAAATGGACGCATGTTGGCTTCGATCCAGTGGGGGCTCTCGTTGCTATTTCGCCAGGGGGTAAGTGGGAAGCAGCGTAGTCGGCGGCGAACGGTTTGACATAATCGTGGGCACGCGTTTGCTTTCGGGAACGCTGTGTTGTCGCTAATCAAGAACTCCGTGGATCCATCCACAGCCGAGCCAAGAACATCCCCAGGATCTTCAGAGACAAGCATCATAGGTGTAGGCGTCTTCGCCTTCTGGTGGTGGATCTCCTGCATCTTCATATGCTTGCCTGCTGCTCCCAAATTCCTCTCATCTTCCTCCTTCCTTTTTCCTTTACAGTCAGCGCGCCTAGGAAGGACGCGCGCCGTCATCTAGGGTGCCCTTGTTTCCTTGCCTCTTCGGCCCGTCCTTTGCCGTTTTCGCTGGTCGCCCGCCGCCCAAAACATCCCATCTTCGGCCTCCAAGGGTCTTGCGTCCTCACCACCCGTCCTTGATACACGTTTTAACCGTATCCTCCCTCCCACCTCCCTTCTCGATCCTGCCGCAGCCGGCCGCTCTGTCGACCAGGCACGTATCAGGGTACATTGCTCTCCTCTCCCGCAAGATGTTTCCCGTTCTGGCCCCCTGCTCCACCCACATCTGTCATGTGGTAGAAGGAAATGATTACTGGACACCCCCCCTCCCCCCAACCTGAACGTTGGCACGCGCGGGGGGTACTGCGGTCGAAGTGCATCTCATCAGACCCACCGCCAACTTTGAACATTGGGGGGGGAGCCGTTGACAGATGAATGTGGCATCATGAGTGTTCGCTAACTTGTTCCGAGGCCTGTGCCACATTCTTCCTTTTCCAAGGCTGATCCATCCGCTATCCCTCCTGCTACCACCGCCTCTCCGTGCCTCCTTCTTTCTCACCGCCTCTCTTTGTGAGTCGTCCTTCCCTCGTCCTGCTTGACCCTCTCAAGCCTTGACAGAGTCTGTATGATCTGCTCTGAGACTCGTTCCCCAGAGCATCAGAGCAAAGCATGAGGAGGAGGCTCAAACTACGTCGTAGACGTTCGAATCTTGACGAGATGCATATATGTGTTTCGGCTTCTGGAGACCGAGACCGCGCTCGAATCCTTTAGAACTAGAGCCAAAGCGTGCGGGAAGCGCGCGCAGGGTTCTAGTACGTAAGTGTGTAAATTTTGTAGTGCATATTTGTTTTTAATATTATTTATATATATATAATATATATATATATATATATATATATATATATATCGGAGTAGGGCCCCGGGGCGGTGCCTGTCATCTCCATGGGGGGTGCAGGGCGCCCCCGGGAGCGTCCGAAGCGTCCCGGAGGGCCCCTGGGACCGCCAGGAACAGTTCGAGACCGCCCAAGACGGCCCGCGAGCGCTCCAAGACGCGCATACATAGCCTCAGGAATGGCCAGGAAGGCCCGAAGACGTTCCAAGAGAGCTCCATGAGGCCCCGAAGGCATCCCAAGAGGCCTCCCAAGAGAGCCCCGACAAGCCAAAATCGTAGATTTGTATTGTTTTTTTCTAGGTTTTTGGTCTTCTCGCTTTTTCGGAGTTCCGACGCTCCAAGACCGTCCAAGAGTCTCCCCAAACCGCTCCAAGACGGCCGAAGAGGCCCCCAAAACCGCCCCAAGACGGCCCAAGAGACCCCCAAAATCGTCCCAAGACGGCCCAGGAGAGCCCCAAGATGGCCCAGGAGCCGCCCAAGACGGTTCCAGGAGAGCCCCAACAGGGCTTCAAGATTGCCTAAGCGAGCCCAGCGCGCCCCAAGAGGGCCCCGCGAGGCCCCAAGAGGCCCCAAAGAGGCCCCCAAGAGCCTCCCTGGAGGCCCCCAAGAGGCCCCCAAGATGCCCAAAAATGGCCCTGAGCGCGCCCCAAGACGCCTCCAGGAGAGCCCAACAGGCCTCCGAGAGGCCCCCAAGAGGCCCACTGGAGGCCCTCAGGAGGTCGTCCCCATCATGTTCCCGGAAGGCGGTCCGGGAACATGATTCCGCGCCTTGGAGGAGTATTCTGCGCCTTCCGAGGCGCCTTGGACGAAGTACGATTCATATTCTTGAACGCTTTCCGGGAACATGATTTCTCACCATTTCGGAACGCTTTCCTACTGCTGCGGTGCTCTGGGGGGAAGGGACGGGGGTCCGGGAACATGATCGGGAGGTTAGGGAACGAGGGTTTGGAGAGGAGCAGTAGGACAGACGGACGGGGCCCGGGGGCGGGGGTGGGGTGGTGCCACCGGTTGGCATGGCCGCCCCGGGCGTCCTGTGGGGTCCACGAACCCGCCCAAGACGGCCCATGAGGCCCCAAAGACAGCCCAAGAGACCCACAAGACAGCCTCAGCGAGGCCCAAGAGGACCCCAAGACGCTCAAGAGCGCCCCAACAGCGCCCGAAATGGCTTGAAGATGGCCGAAGAGGGCCCCAATAGGGTCTTCAAGAGGCAAACACTGGCCCATTCCCATTCGTAAAGCATGCATTTTCAGCATACTCGTTTGCTTGGTCCTCACAGTGCCCCAGACGCCCCCGAGCTCCAAGACAGCCTAAGAGAGACCCAAGAGGGCCCACGACGGCCCACACGGGTCGTCCTGTGAGGCTCACGGAACCCCCCAATGACGGCCCAAGAGGCCCCAAAGCCGGCCCAGGAGGCCCCCAAGACGGCCTCAGGAAGGCCCAAGAGGGCCTCGTTCGAAATCATGTCCCCAGAAGCCTCTCCGGGAACATGATTCGCGGGTTTTTAGGACGCCCAAGAGGGCCCCAGGACGGCCCCAAAAGGGCCTTAAAAGGACCTTCAAAAAGGCCCGGATAGTCACAGTTCGTTGCTTTGCGTGAAATGTTGTTGGATTTCTTCCGCGCGGAGGAGACGGAGAGGGCGAAGGAGGAGGAGGAGGAGGAAGAGGAGAAGGAGGAGGAGGCAGGGAGGAGGAGTGGAGGGGAGGAGGGGGGGAGAGAGGAGGAGGCTCGAGGGCGATCGACGATCGGCGACGACGACCAGCGACGGTGATTGACGACGACGACGACGACGATGACGACGACGACGACGACGACGACGACGATCGACGACGGTCGACGACCGACGACGACGACGATTTACGACGATGACAATAGTCGACGGCGCCGATCGACGATCGACGGCGACGACGACGGCCACGCCGGCGGCGGCGACGCTGCCCGCGTGACAGCCCAAGAAGCACACAAGACAGCCTCATCGAGGCCCCAGAGGGCCCCAAGACGTCCAAAAGCGCCTCGAGAGGGCCCGAGATGGCTTGAAGATGGCCGAAGAGGGCCCCAAGAGGGCCTTCAAGAGGCAAAACGTTACCCATTCCTTGTCGCTTGCTTCGTCCTCAGAGTGGCCCCCGAGGAGCCCCAAGACAGCCCAAGACGGCCCCAAAGGCCACAAAGCCTGCCCAGGAGGCCCCCAAGACGGCCTCAGGGAGGCCCAAGAGGGCCTCGTTCGAAATCATGTTCCCAGAATTTTCCCCCGGAGCATGATTTCCGGGTTCCCAGGACGCCC